CCTATAAATATTTTAATAAAAACACACACTTTATTGTCTTTCCTGTAGCAGCTAACCTGCTCATTAAAACTTATTAAAATTAATGATATTTAAATAGGAAATAAATCTGACAATTTTAAGGGGAATAATATAGTGGAATTCCAGCCAGTTAGATGGAAATTTGCTTAGTCTGCAGGTTTGCTGCGGCGGGGGTATTTTCGAGTTTTATAGAAAGTTTATCGAAAGTGGCCCTGATCGGATTTCTTGTCCTGCAATCATACACATGCAGCTCTCAACTCAGCCGTGTACCATGGCGTATCCGTATTCGACGGCGCACGAAGTACGTAGAATTATATCCGGAGTGTTATTTTACTTTGTAATTGACGAACGATTATTTACAATTACAGACTATCGTAAACCCCAGAGAGTTATGCAAGGTGATGCACTGTAATTCTTTGCTGCAAGCGATGTGCTTGTTTTGAAAATATTATCTAAGAGTTGCATCATTTTCAGACACTTCATCATCAGCCAGGTATGAAGAAAGAAAATCAAATTGCGTTTTGATTCTTGTGTCGTTTTACACCTTAAAACTGCATTTTTAGTCTTTTTTTGTTATTTAATGTTTCATTTAATTGGTGAAAGAGTTCCTTAATTGCGCCAAGCCCTCAAAGGGTCCCAAAAGATGTTTTACCTTTTACCTTCCGTCGTGAACGTTTACCACAGAAAACTGGATTGTTCATGCCAATAAACATTAAAACAACACTTCATACATAAAATTGAATATGAAAACATTTAATTAACATTAATATTTACAGAGAACAAATGGCGAGCAGGGAGGTGAGTGAATCGGCAAAAAACTCATCAATTGAGTAAAAAGCCATGTCCTTTAGCCACCGCACCAAGACACGTTCAAAGCGGTTTTTCTCAAGCAGCCTAACATTAGTTGGAAGCCTGTTGAACATCTTCAACGCCAAGTTCCTTAGTTGCGCCAAACCCAAACCATGTAGGGGTTTAGTTGCCGGCAGAAGGAATGTCCATGTGTCATCCTAACCTAAACCATCCTAACCTAACATAACCTACTAGATTATACAGTCAAAGAGGGCCGCCCCTTAGTTAGGGAACGTATCGGGTGGCTCCCTGGAGTAGTTGGCGCAATTCAGACACCGACTACCCGACTACCAGACTCAGGTCAGTTGGTGCAATTAATGCCCACCCGAATTTAAGCATGCATTCCAAATCAAGACAAATGTTTGTTTGTAAACCAATGCCATCTATGTAAGATTTTTAATGATACCAGAGACGTCGTCAATAACTCGCCATAATCGCACTTTTTTGGTTTTAGAATTTTAGAAAAGGTTGTATTTTTTTTTTAGAAGATATATTATTGGTCTTATATGAGCCAAACATTTAAACAAAATGGTAAAATTATAACAATGCTATAGCCGCATTAAGAAAAGATTATGTTTTCTCCTTTCACTGTTATTTTAACGACGTTGCATTTTCTTTATATCCGTAATTTTAAAGTGTACGTAATGGTACAGTTTTCAACCCTCATTTTAGATGCGATACAGCTTTGGGTATAAATTTCAAGGTGTGTAAATTACCTTTTTACTACTATTATAAAAATAATCCAATCTACTAACCCAAAACTTATTTGCTTAAATTTGCCTACACAATTAAACAAAATTAATGATAAAGCTGAACAAAATCACATGTTCAGGCTTATTTTCAGACTGAAAAACGCCACAAAGTGTGGAAATACTGGATATTAGTTTTGGTTCTATTGAAAATATTAAAATGTGCACGGCTTGATGATCAAAACTTCTGCACGTCCTACAGGTTTTTTCGGAACTTTCTGGGAAGATTTGTCTAGTTACAGACGTTCTATTCATTTCCATGTCTGAGTTTCTTGGCTGTTCCCAGGACTTATTACGGTACAAAATACTTTGATTTTATGGTGGTATCATGGGGAAAAAAATTAATTTACTAAATACAGGGTGTTTTAACGCAACCCAAATTACAAGTACCGTAAGAAACTTTTTAAGGTCAAAACAAGCCCACATGTTGGTATCCATGTACTTAATTGCCAATCAGCTGATATGCGTTATTACACAGTTATCTATGAGTTTTAGCGTGATTGGGAGTAAGTTGATTATGAATAAGAATCAAAATTGTGTTTCCACAAGTTCATAGAGTATGTACTGTACATTAAAAGTGAATAGTTGGTTTTATCCCCAAGAAATGTTTGATATTAAGTTTCTAGATATGATTCCAGTACGTAAAGATCTACTATTCATAGAATTTTAAAATTTAAAGAAATTGGATCTGTAGAAAACCAATCAAAGTAGACCCGTAATACATACTCGATTTGAGATTGTGTAAATACTATGTTGAGTTTTATTTACAATAGATTATCAATAACACTAAATCTCATAGAACAATGCATATTAGCTGATCGGCAATGAAGTAAAGAAAACAGGGATACCACATATGAACTGGGTTTGTCGTTAAAAAGTGTCTCACGGTAGTTTTAATTATTTGTGTTGCGTTTTAAATAAACATCATGTGTAATGTTCCTGGAATATAGAAGATCCGTTTACAAATATAAAAAAAATCCAGAATGTCCTTAGGTAAAATAATACCATTTTATTTATGGATCCAGCATTTAGGTAAACCTCAAGAATATTTAGCTAAATAGAGTTTTTGACATCTCCTAGGATCCAGAATTGTATTTATAATAATCTCCAAAACACGCAACGTTTCCTATAGATTCAATCTTCCTCGGATCCTAGTCGTTTACAGGGGAAACTACAACGTGAAATATTTGCATTTTAGTGGTAGAACCATAATGAACAAAAAATACTTAGAATTTTTGGCGGAAAATATCTTTAAAAGTTCCTTTCAAACTATCACCAGCAGACGTTCTATTTTCTCAGCTCCCCCTACATCGGATTCCACGAAACTGTGTAAAGTGTAATTTATACTTTAATGGCGTATTCTCCTTCAAGTAACACATCATGGACTATAGGCCACATGAAACGACCTGAAAATAATTGATTTGATGTTGTCAACTTCTATATAATTCAATAAAAGATCTGTGACAATTTTTATCCGACCTTTTTCCTGTGACTAATTTAGTTGACGAAGTACAACTTTAAACAGTCGCTTGTTTCCCTAGAAGATTCTTTAAAAATGTTGGATTTCAATTGTAATGGCGGAACCATCGTGCAGATAAAATAACACCCAATAGTGGACTTTTATGTCCAAAAGTACTTTAGTATTCACGATAAAGGAGGATGACCAAACTCCTCAATAGACGCCTCTTTTGACTGAGAACCTGTATGAGACAACTTGAACGTTTCCAGGAAATTCTTCAAAGTGAAATTTTAAGAGTAGCAAAAATATCACAGGTCAGGATGTTTTATACAGTATCATGATGACAATCGACTCAAGCACCACCCACATCCAAAAGTCTCTTACGAACTAGACGTTTTAAATGGCCCTTCCACGGGTATTTTCCTGGAAAATACATAGTTTGAATTTTTATTTTATCAGCGGAACCATTTTACAGTTTCAATGTCCAAAAATGATTTGAATCACAACCCTCTGCAATCCAAAAGTTCCTTAAAGCCTCCAGGACTATTCCTCTGTTACAACTTCGTTGTCAATACTCTATTTTGAATATATGATTTTAACTGTGTATTCATCCCACAGATAAAAGCTCCCGAATCACTCGACAGTTAAAGAAGACATTGTGTCCCTCCGAAGTTATAATTTATCAAGTTCTTTCCTGGATAAATCGGGTAAACTTTAATAATTGCTACTAGAAGCCATGTTTGAATTTTTCAGTGCACTTTGGTGGAAATATCAAATATCATAGTAGGTAGAGTTGCCTGATTTTTTTCTATAAATCTATGCGTTCACCGTTTGAGCTCAACAGTGCGACTCGGACGTCTCGTCCCGCGTGCTAATGTTAGCAGTTTACAGAACCTAAATATATAGTTTTTGCAGATACTAAAATTTTATTTTCATTTCATCTTTAATTCACATTTGTATTTTCTCAAAGCTAGCTGTTAAGATTGGCATCCGCGGCTGGCGCGGGACGAGACGTCCGAGTTGGGCTGTTGAGCTCAACATATATATGCATAGATTTATAGATAAAAATCAGGCAAATCTTCCTACTTATCATACCAAGAATCACAATTTGTAGCACCTCCAAATCGGCAGATGAAAGCCATGTTTATCTTTTTCAGTGAACTTTGGTGGAAATGCCATACTAATAATTACAAAGTTGGTTATTGGTATGATATTTCCACTGATGTAATACGAGTATATCAACTGTACAGTAACTCACAACCTTTGTATATATTAGTGATGTAGTTTAGTGTAAGTGCAACTCTGAAGATGCTACAAAATGTTGCTAAATTTTGTAGCATCTTCAGAGTTGCAAAATGCTAAATGCGCATTAGTAATATAAACTAAGAACATCAAGAACTAAAGGCCCCTCTGCAAAATAAAAGGTAAAATAATTACAATTTGTAGCACATCCTAGTTGGCAGGTTGACGGCATGTGTATATCGTTCAGTGATCTTTAGTGGAACTACTTAGGCCCTCTAGAATAGAACAAGTTTATATTTTTCAGTAAACTTTGGTGCAAACATCATACCAAGAATCACAATTTGTAGCACCTTCAAATTGGTAGATGAAAACCATGTTTATCTTTTTCAGTGAACTTTGGTGCAAACATCATACCAAGATTCACAATTTGTAGCACCTCCAAATTGGTAGATGAAAGCCATGTTTATCTTTTTCAGTGAACTTTGCTGCAAACATCATACCAAGAATCACAATTTGTAGCACCTCCTAGTTGGTAGATTAAAACCATGTTTATCTTTTTCAGTGAACTTTGGTGCAAACATCATACCAAGAATCACGATTTGTAGCACCTCCTAGTTGGCAGATGGAAGCAGACGTCCCGTTTCCTCCAAGTCCCCTTAGCTGTGGGTGTCGGGGCCGAGTCCCTTTCACCTAGCCAGGTATATAAGCCACTCGGAGTCCGCGTCGCCAGTTGGCCCTTCGTGGAGTTCGCTCGACGTACACATCAGGTAGGCTCTCCTCAACCTCTCGCGCTTGCGAACAACACGCTTAGATCGCAAGTGGTCATTTGATAAACAAAATTAGAATTATTTATTTTATGTTTTATAATTTTAATATCTTAAAAGTTTCAAAATTATTTTGGGTTGGAAAAGTTGTTCAAACAAAATGTTAATATATTAATGAATCGTGATAATTAAGACTAAAACGCTTTTGGTAGTGTATCTTTGTTAAAATCCATTGGCTGGTTTTAGGATAATTTTAGTTCAGTATTTTTATGGAAAGGGTTTGACATTATTTGTTGTATAAAAATAAATTCGCTTTTATTTTTTTGCAAGTGGTCATTTGACAACAAGAATTAGAATAATTTATTGTATTTTGTTTTAAATTAAGGCTCTGCAACAGTATTTTATATCTTAAAGGGTTAAAAAATATTTTGGGTTGGAAAAGTTGTTCAAACAAAATGTTGATATATTAATGAATCGTGATGATTAACACTAAAAACTTTTGGTGGTGTATCTTTGTTCAAATCCATTGGCTGGTTTTAGGATAATTTTAGTTCAATATTTACGGAATGGGGTTTGGGATTCTTTGTTTAATAAAACAAACTAGCTTTTACTTTTTGATCTTGCTTTTTACTTCGTACAAAAGTAAAAATAATTCTTATTTGTTGAATTGTGTTTCGCTTTCTAAAAATTTAACATAATCTAATTTATCATAAATTTAATTTATTATGTTTCTTACGATGCAAGGTGATATAAAATTTTCTTCTAATTAGTCAGCATATAATTTTTTTTATTTGCGAAATGTCAATTTTTAAATTTTATATTTTATATTTTTGTTGCTTGCCAAAGCGAACAGTGTTGCCATACAGTATAATAAATTTCTCGTCCCATTAATTGAAATTAAAAAAATAAATTATATCGGGTTTTTGAGTAAATATTATTTATATTGCAGAAAGCTGGGATTTTCTAGTGAATCTCGGAGTTATCTATAAATTATCTAAAAAGATTTCGGTTTTTTGTGTGAATACGATAAACATTTGTAATAATGAAATGAAAATATCAGAAGTTAATTATTTGCAAGGTTTTTAAAACTCGGTTGACAAACCATTTAAGCCAATTCTTTTTTATCCATTTGAATACAAAATTTTAGTTTTCTTTATCAAATCACTTAATAGTGTTCACCAAAATAGTATAGTACTTACAAAATAATCCATTACCAGTATTATAGGTAACCATTATAACATACAACTTTCGGTATTCTCAATAATTTACTAAATTAAAAAATGGTCATACAAATCGACAAATGACTTTTGACAAACGACTTATTTTAGTGAATATTACTACTGTAATAATAGTGTAGTTATAAATGTATGTATGATTCATTGACATATTAAGATTCGTTCCTATTTAAGAGTTTTCAACGACGAGCAGTTGGAAAACTAACCACTACGGTTCTGTTGTCACGAGTTAGGCTGCTGTTCATTGGCTCTTTGTTATGAAGTATTTTATCATACACGCAAAAATGTTCACGTATTTTTTCTAAATGTTGAAAGTTAAACCCCGTTATCAAATGTTAATTAATACCCCTGGAAATATTTTTGACCTACAGATTAACCGAAACAGTGAACAGTGAAATATGTTTTTTTTTTCAATATACCATTTCCCCCGATAAAATTATAATGCAAATTAATTCATTTGTATTTCAAGACATAAAAACTCACAATACCAAATACGAATTCCCTTAAGAAATAGTCAAGCCCCTTGATAATTTTGTCAATCTACTTATCGGAGCAACTTGTTGGATGGGAGTGAAGAATTTAACATATTGTTTTCAATTGCAGTTGCTTAACCCCATAATGGTAACAAATCAGGACATATCAAATAGTTAATTTTATTGAATTTTCCAAATAGGGGAATAAATATGACAATTTTAGGAGATATTTGAGGGAAAATCCAATCAGGCAAATGGAAATTTACTTAATCTTCAGGATTGCTGCGGCGGAGGTATTAGTTAACAGTAGTGTGACGGTTAGTAGCCAATGGATTACACAATGTAGACACAATTCTTGATGACACGTAACCTACTTCGATCGACCCTTGAATCTCGTGGACTCAGCAATTGTATCTCGGTCGATTGTATCAAAACAAACCGTGGCAGTAGTTGCCTTTTCAGCGACACGATAGATGTCCAAATTTACAAGTTTTACCGTAATATGGCTGATTTACACCATCAACATTTTAGACAATGTTTATGAAGACTTGTTTATACTTAAACATTCGGTTTGCAATTTTTTCCGCTTAACAACACGGGAAGTCTGTCTGATAATGATAAGGAAACAATTATTGGGGCGATTGGTGACCGTGACAATTATTTTGGTAATGGTGTGCAGTAGCTTAATTAGTTTCTAACAATGAATTGACGTTTCCTGATTACCAAGTTACCTCCAGCTCTTCCGAGCGAGGTCCTTCAATTGTTGCTAGTTTGGTCGACCTTTCGAAGAAGTCTTACAAGTTTTACCGGTACAAAGTTTGTGTCATACCACCAATCTTCCGTAAAAAGTTGAGCCATGTTTTCGTCAGTACAACACGTGTTATATTTCGTATATTATTTTGAACTTTACATGAACCCTCTTTTAAGTTAAACATTTCAAGTTGGCTTGTGAACTTGCTGACCTTGAACTTCAAACCGATGTTGAATCGCAGACTTCTTCACAAACCTCTGTGTAGCAAGACTCCGCCAACTTATCAAACTACTTGCACGCTCATCTATTGTACAAATCTGGCTAATTGCAATTAACTTATGCACAGTTCAAAATCAAAACCGGTAACTTTCCTGTAAACATATCTTCGATTAAGGATCATGATTTCAAAACCCAGTTGTGGACATGAAAAACTTTAAGTATGGGAGAAATTCGTGAATGTTTTAATGCAGAATCGTCTTTTTATACAGGGTGTCCATAAGAAACGTTTCAGGACTTTGGGATATTAATCCTCATGTTAAAAGGAAGAAAACAGTGTGAGTGAAGGTATGTCCGAAAATGCATATTTACCCAGATATCCACCATTTTGTTTTTATACAAAAATATTTTTATCTGTGATGTTTTTCATTCGATGATTATGAAACTTGGTAAGCATGCTAACGTACACAAGACCTATTATAGAACAAATAATAATATTGGTCCAATTAGAAATTTCAAAATGTCAGCTGTTTTAATTTGTATTACTTAGATAACTCAAAAATGGATAATTTTATAAAGATGCAAAGAATACTTTTTTTAGCATTTTAAAATTCCTATCAAATTTTTGTAAGATGTAAGATCAAGCAGATGAAGTGCACTCCGACTAACTTTGTCTTTTTTACACCGAAAACTTTATATTTCAGTTATTTATCGTCCAATCTTTTTGATCTTGGTATCGTTTGATAGGGAATTAAAAATGCTAAAAAAGTATATTCGACACTTTTTATAAAATTATCTATTTTTGAGTTATTTAAGTTATAACAATTTAAACAGCTTCTATTTTTTAAATAATTGTTAATCGGACTAACCTTTTTTATGATAGGTCTTGTGCACGTTAACATTCTTACCAAGTTTCATAATCATCGAATGCTAATCACCTTTTAGCATGAGGATTCATATCTCAAAGTCCTTAAACGTTTTTTATGGACACCCTGTATAACGTCCTTCAGCAGATTGCTGGACAATTAGGAAGTTCCAGTAATCTTCAGTAATGAGACCGTGTAAGGATGGCTACAGTACCAAAAACCGAGGACATGTAAACTCTATTCGTCTAATGGCTGCATGAAGTTGCTTGCACGCCTGACTCGTTAAGGCCTTCCTCATTGATGCAACATGCAAAAAGTGTACTTACTCTCTCCTTAATGTTTATGTACTTTCGGTGCCAGTCTAAGGGAAAGTACCACCTCAAAATGTGCCAACTTTAATAAGCTTTCTGCTGCGTATTAGTTAAACTTTCTACATATTCGCACGACCACACTCGATCACTCATTGAAGCGATCATTAGTGTCAAATATAAATTGATTGAACGAATTATGTAAAATTACAGATTCAACATGTTTAATTTTGAATTTATTATAAGGATCAACTAGAGAACGGGTTGTACATAAGATGTTTTATTAGGTTTTTAAGCTTCTTAACTAGAGGTACGGCTGGTTCATAGTAAATTACTAATAGCTTTTAGCTATACAGTATAACAATGATACCGCTACCCGGTGGTTCGGAGCCCACCTTTAGCTACAGGCCATACAGAATAAAACCCAGTAGTATACTCCAGTGAGCAGAACCTTCCCTGCATTTGAGGACTCCCTCCAACGAAAGTCACACAATAATCAAATAATAAGTTATTTTATAGAGTTTTAAATTATTGTACTTTGTATTGCAATGGCACGTTGTACCATTTACTCGTTTATAACAGTGACATGTTTAGTCGGTTTCAACGCTCGAGCTTTGCTGGAAATGATACACAAAACAAACTTCAGATTTGACCAAATAGAGAAGTGAGATTAACTTGCGAGAAGACTAAATGCTAAATTAAGCATTAGATAATCAGTTACAACTGTCCCTGGAATGTTTGCAGACTTGGTACAATCATGTATTTACAATTATGTTCAATCTGTATATTTCGTTGAATTGCTGATAGGTTAAGTGCACCACTGACGCACGTGGCGGGCTCAACCACAACCGTAAACACCACAACACCACAAACCGCAATCAAAAATACGTGAGGCTGAAGAGAACATGTAAAACCACTCGGTACACCACAAAAGATTTAACTAGCAAATTTACTACTGCCTTCAGGTTTTTACATGCGTTAAAAAAACAAATGTTTTCATAGATTGCTCTTGAATCTAATGTATTATGATCAACTGTAATTAATTTTCATGACGATTTTTAAGTCCGTTGGAAACTTAGTAAATTATTTTGGTATATAAATACTGTAGTACTAAAATGAGTGGGAGGAAACTTTTGATAGTGTAAGTTTCCAGT